GTGCTCGTTGGTCATTCCCGAGGGCCTTGCCGTAACTTACGCTTAACAACAGATGAAGCCGTACCCGTTCCAGTCCGGATGAGCTACACCCGCACACACGAGTTCATTTGCTGCGGCAGTAGGCAGTAATGAAAGAGGACTGCACATCTTTCGCAAAATCAGCTTTTCGTCCAGCCAAACATTTGCCGGACAAGCGAATAAGACGAGCCCAAAGATCGCAGGACCCACAAGCCTCAGTCGCTCAACACGGAGCCTTGTCGAACACCCGCTTGAATATTGAGATCTCTGCTGTGGTAAGACGGCCCCATCACCCCCCCTTGTTGATCGAAATGCAGGCAATGTATGATCCAACGCAAGTGTGCTTGGTCAGCAAGTGCTTCCCATAGCATGTCCCTGTCAACCCGGTCGAATGCTTTGGATAACACAAGGCTTCTCAATGCGGCGATGCTTTCGAAAACCATGTTGTTGTTCAAGGTGTGCATTGTCCACCGTATCCTTGCTAAAACCATGTATGCGAAAAGTTTGTACAGAACCCGAACATTTGCGATCGGACGGAAGTCTGTGGTGCTTCTTGCCTACGACGACTAGGGCAACATCGCAAACAATGTGCGGCTCCATGTGCATGGCATGTCGCCTGATTATGATCGTACAAATGCAGCAGGCAAGACATAAAACCATCGGCGCTGTAATGCAATAGATCTGCAATCATTCCAACTTCATCGCACGCTTTGTCGAATTTCATTTGCTGGATTGGCTGCCTCAATTCATCAAACGAAATAAATGCGAACGGAACTTCGTCCAACATAACTGGTTTCGTGGGAGCAGGAGGACCAATAGTAAACAAACTTTCCAGCATACGGGCAAAATCATTTGCAACGTGACGAAAATTTTGATGGTAGACGTTCGCAACGTCGAGATCTCCCATCACGAACTTCTTGCCGATGAAGTTTGCGAGTGCCTGACCCTTCCTGACTTGGCATTGTGCCACGCACCGCTACGCACCGATGGTTGCATGATAATTTATTGTGTGTCTGCAGCACGCGTCAAAATGCGTGGTATCGCTGGATGCGACAGTCTGGTGGCATTGCCCCGCTATCGCTACAGCAGCTTTTCAGAACCTGCAGCGCCGTGTGATTATTTTTGCTGTCAATTGTTTAGCTGCCCGCTTCGCGTCTGGTCGGTGGGCCTTGCGTCATCTTGCGTCCATGTGCAGCCGTGTATACCGAAAGCTGCTGTGTAGACTGTGCAATTGTACTGTCTATTCCGTGAGTCGAGCTTGCCAAAGAGGTTGTTTTGGGTTTTTAACTTTATTGCCCGACTGCTTGCGTAAAGCCGCTGATGGCGCCGTTCTCGTGGGTCAACTCCGGCTTGGATGAATTGTGTCGCGCCGGAGTCCCGCACCCGCAAGACTCAGGCATCTTTTCGGGATGCCCAGCAGCTTCGGTAAAGTCCTGGCTCCGCATGGTTTAAAAAAAAAAGAAGTTTCTTTGTCACACCGATTTGACGGCCGGTATGCCTCATTGCTCCGAGAATTCAGTTCTTTCCAGCAGTATGCCACTTGGCAGCCCAGGCCTCGTTTGCACCATGTCGTGTACGGACCCTCTATCACAGCGTATCGGGGGTTGGCGCGTTGCGGCCATCACCCATTTGCTGATGGCCGCGCAGCCAGACATCGTGTACCGAGCATTGCATGGACCCACAGTCCCTGCCGATTCTGTGCCTGTGGCGTTGACTCTTTTGCGCATGCTGTGCTTGAGTGCCCCCCTGCGCACAATATCTTGCGACAAAGGTGGGCCAACCGGTCCCGGCATGCACCATCTTTGAATGTGTTGCTCTCAACAGATGAAGATGTCAACACGGCCCGTGACATCAAAACCAACATTGACTTCATTGCTATTGCAGCCGAAGCTTGTGAGATGTGAGTTTCTCCCTCTTGAGCGTGGCTGAATGAACAGGCTTGTACATACCACTGACGCATTTCTTTGTGCATTGATGGTTCCTGGCTTGGTTTATGTTTGGTGTTGGTTTGTTTTTTGGTTGTTTTTGGTTTGTTGGTGGTGTGAGGCAGTGAACCATCATGCTTGTAGTAGTTGCTTCCTGACCGTGACCCACGGTCGTTTCCGGACACGCCTCTCTGATGGCAGCAACTCTTTCGCATGTGGTTTAGATTCCAAGACAGGATGGATTGAGTTGAATGAAGCCAATGTCAAAGTTTTACAAGCTAAACTGGGAGGTATGGTGCCATGAAGCAGCAACAGCACAGCATGGAAGATGGTACCACCCATGGCAAAGTAAATCGGGGGCACTTAAGTCCGATTTGGAAAAGTGACAATGAGCCAGAAATAAAATCTCATTGTCACAAAGGCACTCAAAAGCATTCGTGCAGAAAAGCGCCGTTGGGCACGGGATCAGTCACGCATGTCGCGGGCGTCAGCCTGTTTGCTGAATTTTTTGCTGGTAGACATTTAGGATGAACCAGGTGCATGATGGATCAACAAAGTAGGCACATCTTGACAAGCAATCGCAAGCACCTGCATGTTTGGAGGGTTGTGGGCTCGCAGCAAGCTCCGTTGTGGGCCTGACCATCAAGTTGTATGTTTGCCAAAATTGACGGAAAGCCGCTCCGAGAAATTCAGAACATGCGGTCTTGTGTATTGTGCTGGTGGGTCATGGTGATGGTGCGCTGCAGTATCTTGCATTCAAAGTGGAAATGTCATGAGGTCCATCGCCTTTACATGGTGCTGCTAGTTGTTTTGCTGATTGTCTCCACGGTGGCTATCCGTCACGATCAGCAGCAGCTCCTTGACGTGCGGAATGCGGAACCCCGCCAATGTGCTTTCGCTCACGTAGGATGGTGCTAATTTAAGCGGTTCCGAGCATGTGTTTGCGGCAACCAAGCCGGATTTCCCCGCAAAAGCATGGCTGACGAACCTAGCTGGTTTGGGCGCTTGCAACTTGCACAGCTGATTCCTGCTGTCGCCCAGGTGTTCTAGGCCGATTCTAAGCAAACTTGGCCGAAATGGCACTGACGAAGGAGCCCTGCAATTTTTGCCGCGCATCTCAGGTCCATTCCTTTCTGCTGGAATTGTTGCGCGAGCTCAAAATGTTCCAACAAGACCCACAACACGCGCCACTTTGGGAAGGCAGAATTCCTGGAGTGCGAGCCAGTGCCAGGTGTTTACAAGCAGGATGGAATCCCGTCTGTCTGTAATTAGTGAAACTATGCTACAGTAGTATTTGGTAAGCTCAGGTAAGCAGCGGATGCAGCTCTGCGCGTTGTTTCCACACTTTCCTACAGTGGTCACTGTTCCCTGATATTTCTTGGGAAGCTTGCATGGCATCCAACAACTCCCAAGGAACGGTGGTTACACCGGACATGGTAGCAAGCGGGGCATACTTTGGGAAAGCGAGCTACATCTGTGAGGAGAAGTGTCCCTCACTATGCAAATAGATCCTTCTCTTGGATTGGGTAGTCCTGAAAGGTCCAAGACACAGGTGAAATCTGATCTGAGGTTGGGTGAAATTGGAGTGGATGAAAGGCCGCAAGTCCAAGGGCAGTGTCTTCCGCGGAGGGGGCGTCACTCTGCAGAGGTGAGCCATATTTTTGCATTGCATTTTTCTGTCTCCGCCACCTGTCTAGGCATACCATTGAGAATCATAGCATCAGCTGTGCAAGGGTTGGATTCCAGCAGGCGTATCACGGAATGGAAATGGAAGTGAAATATTGCGGACTTATGCAATGTCGTTGTGAAGTGCAGCTGCAGTCCCTGTACGCACAAGACTGACGACTTCGTTGAGAAAGTAGTTGGACAAGGGGCATGACGACCACGCTTAGGGCTGTTGAGGTAGGTTGAGCTTTGCATGCACGCAGATCTGGGCTTAGAGCTCACAGAGCTTGCATTTGAGGTCGACAGTTCTTGTGTGTACGAGAAGGTCGACGGCCTTGACTGGAAGAGGACCGCGGTCAAAGTGCCGGCATACAAGCCGATGCTTGGTCAACAAGTCACCTGGCCACGGTACACCGAGGCCGTTGTAGATTGCACACACCTTACTATAGTTGAAGATGCTCATTGACCAGACAACTTAGACCGGCCCCCATGCTCTGATTTTTCAAGATCGTTCAAGTGTTTGCGTATAGTATAGTTCAGATTTGTCAATCAAGCACTTCTGCTTTCGGCGGCTTTTGAACACAATTTGGCTTTTAAGAACATGTCGTTGCTTGAGGAAATGCACGGAAATGCTCATATACGTTCACAGGTATATTGTATTGTTTTTGGGTTTCCCCCTTTTTTTCCTTTGTACAGGCAGATTCGTTCAATTGTTTTCTTGACGCAGTCTTGGTTACGCAACTGTTTACACACCCTCTGTAGAACGATTTTGCTGGGGGTGCGAGTCCCAAGTTCGCTGGTTTTTAAGATCTTTGCGATCTGAAACGCCTCCTGGCAGCTGACTGCTGGGCTCGGGAGGCTGTCTCTCCCGACTTGGAGACAATCGTGCTGTGTCGACTTCCTGGTTCAGGAAAGCATGCGAAAACACGTGTGAAGAAGACTGTTCTGGCGATTCCGAGCTAAGTCTGCAGTCGTAAGCCTTCCACCACGTGCAATCCACATCTTGTAAATAACTTTTTTTTTGCTGAAGCGGCTCCCAGCTTCTAAAACTTTGGGCTTGAAGCGCCGAGCTCAGGAAGGTGCCGAGGAAGACTTGGGAAGAATGGAGATTGGAGCAGGAGCTCAAGTTCATTGGCAGCTGAAGGAGGCCAATCTTCGACCCTTCTACCTCTCGGAGCAAAAGAAGTGCTTGAGCCGTCTGACTTCAACGTGCAAGCGTTTGTGAATGTCTGGCGAGAGGCTTGTAGAAAAGTGAAAGCATTGGGGTCGTCACAGGCTTGAGCGGCCATTTCGCGAGAAATGCGAGGGTATCAGGGTTGCCTGGTTCAAATGCGAGAGGGAGCCAGGTCATGAGTTCACAAAGACATTCTGCCGTGGCTTGAATGCTCAGTTGACTTCGGACATTTCAGGGGCATGGATGGCCGCGTTAGCGGTGGCATTGGCCTGTGGCCCGGATGTCCGGGATGTGGGCTGCAGACCTCTGCAGACGGTCCAGTGGATATTAGAGGAAACCAGAAGAGGAGTGGTAAACAGAATCGTCATCAGAATTATTTCTAGCATTCTAAGTTCAGTATGAGGCGCGCCTGCATGGATCTTCGTGCATGCCGTGATATCTGCTCTTGCTGGAATGGCCGTTGGCAGCACACCTGCGTGACAAGGGCAAACGTGAACCTAATTTGTATAAGATGCGGGAATGTGTCTGCTTCAGTGACATGGACAGAGGCAAGTCAGCAAAACACATTTTGACCCCAACCCCTGAACATCTTGATGTAGTAGCACCTGATGCTAAATGGAAGCCGCTTGGGATCCTTGTGCTGGAGATTGCGTTGGTCCGATGCCGAGTTTCGAATACCGAAATGAGCTACATGCGCCGTTGGATGTAGTGGACATGTGCTCAGTGTTCACTGTTTGAAGCAGCTAAGTTCGGCGGCTGCTGTCAACGTCCGGCAAGACTTGCTCCGAAAGACTTGGCCACAGGCCCGGCTATGACATGGACAAGCAACCCCTTGAAAAACCCTAGGGGCGCCAAGTTGTTGCTTTGAACAGCGGGTTTTCATGGAATCGCCCGATGCGTTCCTTTTGAGGCCCAGCGCTTGGGTTGATCTATAAGGAGTCTCTTGTTGACAGGCGCCGCCAGAGTGGATCGAAGAAGCAGAGGCGAAGGTGGGCCGAGCATGCTGGAATTGAGATCCTTCGGTCAAGCTCTGGCTTTGATTGGTGCAGGCATTGCTGCAGCCACACCTAGAATCTCCTGACTTGGCAGCTTGGCATGGACGTTAGCTCTGGTCCTTTATGTCGTGCTTTGTCTTGCCAGAACGAGGAAGATGCATTAGCGGCCGTCCTGACAGCTTCAACAGCTTATGCGGTACCTTCGCCGGCCAAAGAATTTGTGCGCACGAGGCGCCCTTGCCGTTGAGACATCTGTCAATCTGAGCACCGAAACAGCCGTGCGACGGAACCAAATGACAGGACGTTGTTATCGCTCGTGGAGCCGTGCGATGCTCATGTCCTCGAGGTCGGAATGCCTAGACTCGCACGAAAACTGCTGAGCAGTTCATGAATCAAGTTCATGAATGATTTCGTGGACAGTTTTCGGCAGGTCACACTGGAAACTCGGCAGCCCTCGGACATGTCATGAATTTGTGTGATTTAGGAAGAAACTGTTGCCTGCCTCCTGTTGGGGGACCATCATGATGCAGTGGCAAGGGCAAAGGTTTGAAAGAGTTTGTTTCGTTCTGGCTTCGAGGACTCGCTTCAGTTTGCGTCCGTGGTGCAGGGCCCAGTGTCGGTGCGGTGGATCATGTTTTGCAAGGTTCCTTGGCTGACTAGAGTCTACAATCGTGATCACGTGCTCAGGTTGGAGACGAGCACATCTCGCATGCCTACCATGTCCGCTTCAGATTGAGTGGGGCTGGTCCGTGGGCCTTGGGCTGAGGCTCAGTCTGTCATTCTCCGCCTAAGGGGCAGGGCATGTTGCAAAAGTTTGGGCAGATGCAGGGACCGGGGGTGGCAGGCAGGTTGATCGTGGTTTGAGGTCGTGATTTCCGTACATTACTTCGCGAAGGTCAACAGCCCAACGTTCGTGGTCCATGACGATGCAGCAGAAGGAGACCGCAGTTCTATCAGGATGTTACTGTTGTGCTGAGATGCGGTGTGTGCCATTGGATGCCGCTGGCCGGCTTGCAACTCCACCCGGCAATTTGCACAAGCTAATCTAATGGACCAGGCCCAGTGGAGGTTCAGATGGGAACCGCGGTCCGCTTCGTGGTTCCTTTGTGTGGCGGGGACAGCCACTTGGCAAGTCGCGTTACTGTTTGTGGATTTAAAGAGAGGTGCAAATGGAATCGAAGAGCACAGTCTTCAAGCTCCAAGGCCTCACACATCTATTCAAAGGTGTTTTTGCGATCGGGCTGGAGCTTCAGCTTCGAGAAGAATTTCGTGAGTCGAACCGCCGCTTGACTTTGACTGCAGAAACCGAAGAAGTCCTAGAGCCAGACCAGACCACGCATGTGGAATTTGACCCATGCAAGGTGCAAATACGATTCTTCAGGGGGAGCTTGCTGCAGCGGATTCTGAGCAGCATGGGGTCCGCCCAGCTAGCAGCGGGCATGCCATGTTCCCGAGTTCATGCCTAGGAGCTTCATGCGCTCTGCGCCGATATCGAAGAGTCGGAAGGGCATGGATCCTTTCGAACGCAGCTTCATCTTAGCCGACCCGGAGCACCCTTGAGGCCGTGTTTGCTGCTGAGCCGAAACTTTCCATGCCATCTCGGTTGGCTGTTGCAATGGGAAGTGTACTGCAACTGCTGACTGTATGAATGGAAAGACAGCTGTATGTGCCCAAGGTTGTCCTGCTCGGCAGCCGCTTCGCAAGGAGATTGGCTCGGTGATCATGCAACTTGGTAATTTTTCCCGTTCGCGATTGTAGACGATGGTCTTGGCCGTTGCCTCCTTTTTCCAAGCCCTGCATGACAACCTCGTTGTCGCGTTGTCGTATTGAGTCGAAGAGTGAAAGCACCCAAGATGGGGCTCAATTCAGAGGCATGCCTTTTGCGGTCCAACTTTTGCCTTGTTTAATCAGTGTGGTTGGCCATCAGATGCTGTGAGCATGCATATGTCTTGACACGCACCTCAGGTGTCCCTGTCTCTGCGCTTTGCCCGTGCTGTAGCAGCCCTGGATGCATCGCCTTGGCCTTGTGAGGCTCAGGCACAAGCTGTGGCCCCTTGCTTGAAATGGGCCTTGTGCGTTGAAGGTCCCGCGAGCCGTTCAGCATATTCGGTTGACCGTGTGTCCACAAGGTGTCTGGACCTTTGAGAGATTCAGGTCTTGTCTCTGGCCTCGCGAATGCAGTCATAATCTTCTCCAGTCGCAAGTCCCCACAATCCTCATTGTGGCATCCAGAGCCCCGTCCCCGTAATTTCTAATCTTGGCTCCTGATCCCTGGGCAAAAGCTGAGGCCGTCGGCCCTGAGGACGCAATGCAGGTTGAAGCAGTTGAAGGGAATCTTTTGGTGCCGCATCGTTGCGTTCTGGCTAAAGTTTTTGGGATGTGAGGGGAAGCAAGAAGTCCGGATGTCGCGTGATTGCACGATGCGACATGCTGACCTGCACTTTTGTTTCTCGTTCGAACGTTGTGCTACTACTTGGCAAGTGCAGACTGACCTTGAAATAGCGACGTACTTTATTGGAGGATGGAGTCCTGGAGGGGTGCCTTGTTCTGTTTGGAAGACCACATGGGGGTCTTACCAGCTCTGCCCATATAGCGGCCCTCGAAAGACTTTAGCATCAAGTCCCGACCCGAACTCCCTGCAAGACCGGCATTCGCAGGACGGCCTCGGGATTCCGGGGTTGCGGGTCTCGGTAGAGCGCTTTTTCGTGCCGCGGCTGCTGCGCAGGGGATCAGGGATGATTGTGGGGCCAGCTCGGTGTTGATAATTGAGCGTGAGGTTTAAGGACTGTTCACTTGGAGTGTCGCCAGGCTTCGGATCTCGGCCATGTCGGGGCGTGGTTGAGTGACGGGTGATCAAAGCACGCATCTGTGTTGGCACCGCGGGGCCCTGCTGGTTTAAGTAGTGCTGACGGTCCCTGATGCTTCCTTGCATTGTGCTGACGGCAGTAGCAGTGAATGTAGACAGAAGGTCAATTCAACCATTGTGCTCGCATGCAGAACCCAAGCTCCAAGCGCCGATGGGCGCTGGTGGCACCTTTGCACTCAGGCATCCTTGGTGGACGACCCAAGGTGCCTGTGGGATCTCAGCAGTTGCTCGAGGGCTTGATGGAATTTGATGGATTCGTTTGCAGGCCAGCCGACCCGGAAGAGCCGCCTCCCTTTTTAGGCAGGTGTGTGGGGCGTGTTAGCAACAGTCTGATCTCCATCTTGCGGTTTTTGCAGGGTTTTCATGACGACTGGATGTGGACCGGCAGGCCGACCCGAGTCAGGGACAGAGGGGATGAAGTCGGATGCCTGGGAGGAGCTCGACGAGACTTGGTGGTTCTTCTGGTGTGATTGAAAGACTTTGCAGTGTCATAATCCGAGTCCCAAATCCCGCTGCCTGCGTTAATTGCAAGATGATCCTGCCAGCATCACTGAGGATTTGCTTGTTCTCGGATCACCGACGCCTCGTTCTCCTGAGCATGTGCAGGACGCTTGGTTTTGGGACCTGCCGGTGCGCTGTTTGGCTTCCAGCGTATGTTTAATAGCACTGTAAGAAATTGCTGCAGCAACAACGACCCTGGATGATCGAGTTCATTCTCCGCGGCCACATGTTCCCCCGCCATCGTGCAAGAAATATCGGCTGGCGGCATGTTGTGGTATCGTGGTACGCGCGAGTGTAGAATTGTTCGCATGATTAAGCCGGCCATGGACCCTTCATTGTGGACAACAGCGCATTTTGGCAGGAATCACCGACTTCCAGCGCTAGATCGCATGTCAAGGACGAACCCTGGCAAGGCGACAAGCTGCAGGACGCCTCTTTCCATGCCTTTTTGGTTTGTAGGTGAGAGAGAGAGGTAGTTTGCGTCCGTGAGTGGGAACTAAGGTCGTGTCTGGACCATGCAGGTTTTGCTTTGATGGAAGGTGATTTGCCGAGGAAGATGCGATGATGCCGGTGCCGATGATGGCATGACGGTTAAGACGATGGCAA